AAGTTACGTCATTGCTCCTTCTGAAGTTCTTTCCACACTGCACAGATTTATATGGCTTCTCCCCTGTATGGATCTTTTTATGGGAAGTAAAGGAACTCCTTCGACTGAAGCTCTTTGCACACTCTGCACATTTATATGGTTTCTCCCCTGCATGGATCCTTTTATGTCTCACAAGGGACCCATTTTCACGGAAGCTCTTTCCACACTCCATGCATTTATATGGTTTCTCCCCTGTGTGGACTCTTTTATGGGAAGTAAGTTTACTGTGTTGGCTGAAACTCTTTCCACACTCCATGCATTTATATGGCTTCTCCCCTGTGTGGATCCAGTTATGGGAAGTAAGGGAACCACTATGACTGAAGCTCTTTCCACACTCCACACATTTATATGGCTTCTCCCCTGTGTGGATCCTTTTATGTGATGTAAGATTACTGCTATTAGTAAAGCCCTTTCCACACTCTCCACATTTATATGGTTTCTCCCCGGTGTGGATCCTTTTATGTCTCATAAGGGACCCATTTTCAGAGAAGTCCTTTCCACATTCCATGCATTTATATGGTTTCTCTCCTGTGTGGATCCTTTTATGGCAGGTAAGAGAGCTAATCATGGTAAAGCACTTTCCACATTCTACACATTTATATGGCTTCTCTCCTGTGTGGATTCTGTTATGGAAAGTAAAGGAACTCCTTTGACTAAAGCTCTTTCCACATTCCATACATTTATATGGCTTTTCCCCTGTGTGGATCCTTTTATGGAAAGTAAAGGAACTCCTTCGACTGAAGCTCTTTCCACATTCTCTGCATTTATATGGCTTCTCCCCTGCATGGATCCTTTTATGTCTCAGAAGGAAGCCATTTTCACGGAAGCTCTTTCCACACTCCATGCATTTATATGGTTTCTCTCCTGTGTGGATCCTTTTATGGCACGTAAGAGAGCTAATCATGCTAAAGCACTTCCCACATTCTACACATTTATGTGGCTTCTCTCCTGTGTGGATCCTTTTATGGAAAATAAATGAACTCCTTCGACTGAAGCCCTTTCCACAGTCCGTACATTTATATGGTGCCTCCCCTGTGTGGATCCTTTTATGGGAAGTAAAGCAGCTCCTTTGACTGAAGCCCTTTCCACACTCCATACATTTATATGGTGCCTCCCCTGTGTGTATCCTTTTATGGGAAGTAAAGCAGCTCCTTTGACTGAAGCCCTTTCCACACTCCATACATTTATATGGTGCCTCCCCTGTGTGTATCCTTTTATGGGAAGTAAAGCAGCTCCTTTGACTGAAGCCCTTTCCACACTCCATACATTTATATGGTGCCTCCCCTGTGTGGATTTTTTTATGTCTCATAAGGGATGCATTTTTACAGAAGCCCTTTCCACACTCCATGCATTTATATGGCTTCTCCCCTCCGTGGATCCATTTATGGGAAGTAAAGGAACTCCTTCGACTGAAGACCTTTCCACACTCTCTGCATTTATATGGCTTCTCCCCTGTGTGGATCCTTTTATGGGAAGTAACTTGACTGCTCGTTCTGAAGCTCTTTCCACATTCCAAACATTTATATGGCTTCTCTCCTGTGTGAATCCTTTTATGGGAAGTAAGTTGACTGCTATGAGTAAAGGTCTTTCCACATTCTCTGCATTTATATGGTTTCTCTCCTGTATGGATCCTTTTATGGGAAGTAACTTGACTGCTCGTTCTGAAGCTCTTTCCACATTCCAAACATTTATATGGCTTCTCTCCTGTGTGAATCCTTTTATGGGAAGTAAGTTGACTGCTATGAGTAAAGGTCTTTCCACATTCTCTGCATTTATATGGTTTCTCTCCTGTA